CATCAGGCTAGAACAAAGGACCTTTATCCCACAGAGGAAAGTTGCATGAGCTTGAAAAATTACAATGAACTTACGTATTTGACCATATTTGGGCGTAATATAACAGCAACTTCCCATGACCTTTCGCTGGGGTCCACTTGTCCTTTCTGATCGCTTTCTACAAAAAGAAAGCAAGATGAATCATAATTAACCAACGGTGAAAATTCACTTCTGGGGGGGGGTGCACTCCATTTTTTCTCCAATACTCAAGGAATGAGAGCGCTCACGACACGTAATCGACTCATTTAAAGTAGACTTCTGATAAGTATCGGTGTAATGTGGAAGAAACCCTGAGATGCTTCACATTTCCGCCTCTTCCAAGTGTGGGCAGGATGTGTGGAATCTAGAAAATCCACCGGTCTTATCGAAAGTACGCTCAAATGCGTTGTTTACTTATTATTTATGCACAGTAATGCATAACCCAAAGGAGGGGCACTGCGGGTAAAATAGCAATGAGTGTCCCCCCTCCGAATTGGATTTTCACCTAACCAACTAATTACAAGTCTCTGTCATGCATTTGCACGGGATGTCGGGGCCTACGTCTAAAGTTGAAAATACTTCCGTAAAATATTGAACGAAGGAAAGAAAATGGACAAAATGAGAGAAAAATGAAATAAACTGCTTTCCTACATCTTCATGTTTTCTAAACATAATGGAAGATTAGACCTTATTGTGTAGAAGAGGTTATAAGAATATCATTTCACCAAACGAGGTAACTAATCGATGGAAGAAATGTGAAGAAGAGATTTCGAAATAGACAAACAAACCATCAGAACTTTCTTCAGCATCCACCTCCTCTTCCTCTGCTGCATCATCGGTGGTCGCTTTTTTCGGGAGCGGAGCCCACAGGGGAGCGTTCTTCAAACCTGATATAGTAATTAGAGGAATATTGGGAAAATTCTGGGAAAGAAGAGGAAGACATGAAAAAAGGGAGGGAAGAATCACTTACGATCAATCTGAGCAGGCGTGAACCCTAAAGCAGCGTACAGATCCTGCAACAAGAATAAAATTTGATTCGAGCTAATTGATGAAATGAGACGGCAGAAAAGAACTGAAATACCATGTCAACTTCTTCGAGTTCTTCTTCCGAGTCGTCTTCTGGCTCTGCAGCAGAGCAGTGCAGCGAACTGATTCGATCACCTAGAAAACCCAAATCAAAGGTCAACAGCAAAGCAGAGGAAAGTAGAAGAAATGTCGTACAAATTCGGAAGTTACTATTGTTCGCAACACAACAACAATGCTAAAATTGTGTCTACTGCCGTCCCTCTGTACTAGGATTACAGTTCGTCAACCTCTTTACTCTAAGGTTGACAATACTATAATATAAAAGAAGTAAAGAAATTCATTCAAAATCAAAGCAGATCTTACATAAGGTGAGACCCGCTTTTTCAAAGTCGCTGTCCATCGTATTCTCCTTGTTCTCGGATTCTATTGCCTCGCTATCCACTGCCTGAAAAATACTTGAGTATGCTCTTTGAACAACCATGCCACCTCGTAGTGAAAATGTGGTAAGGTCCAAGAAGGATATTGTAAAATAACCAACTAATTATAAACAAGTTGGAATGAAAGACGACAAAATACTCTTACGCCGTCAACCGGAACCTTCTGATTGGATGCATTTCTAGAGCGTTCTTTCTCCAGCGCGTGTAGGATTCTCCTTTGAACAGGATCAATTCCATCAGTGTTGCTATCATCCGACTGCACAGGTTCATTGGGTTCTAAGGGAAGTTACCCAATTAGATGCTTGCTCACTTCCTACTGCATTTTTTTCAACTCTAGATGACTTGCAATCGGAGAAGAAAAACGTACCGTAGGGCAGTGGTCTGATTACGCCACTACTGCTCACCACAATCCGACGATGGCGAACCAACGCATTAGTGATCCTCCGAGGAAGTTGAATGAAGCGAACGTCAGAGCTAAAGAAATGATTCACACCTTACATGTCAGGGGAAACATAGAAAGTCGTGCGTTTTCTGCAAATTGTCACTTGGAAATGAGAAGGAATAAGAAATTTAAAGCTTTCTGCGAGAAAAAGATCTAATCAACTCACTGCAGTGGTACTTCGACCTCGTCGGCTTCCAAGTCACCTGGTCCAAATGCGCTCTGAAGAGCATCATCAAAATAATCCCGTCAAGAATTTGCAAAACACTGGAGAAGAAAATACACACAGAGAGCTGACGTAAACAAGCGGAAACGCACCGGAACAGCACCACTGTGATGTAAAAATCTGGTCATGTCGGCGAATTCTGCATTCGAAGATGTGCGAGAGAAACCACTCACACTCGAGGAGACCTCACGACCATTCGTGTCCACATGACAAGAAGAAGGGCTTGAAACAGCGATGCAATAACAATATTTAACCAGAAATACTGAGGACCACCAGACAATTCAAATAACCGAAATCAAAACAAGCTCAGCTGCCGCCAAGCAGCCGCAGAGCTCAAATTCTGAACCAAGCGCACTTTCACAAAGGATATTCACAGTTTGCAACTAGAAGCAAACATTGAAACATAATTACATACACATAGAGATAAATCAACACAGTGCTGTTTTTAGCCATCATTTCTAAGCAGGGTTGACCGTCGCTGGTCATTTCTCAACGAGTGGTCGATTTTTGAGTTCGGAAGGGGGCAGTCGTAGTAGGGGGTTGACCGAGGTTTCATCGGAAACTTCGGATGGGGACGGTCTTGTTGAAGTTGAAGGGCTCGTGTCGTTGAAGAAGAGGTCCTTAAAGTGATACAGCGGTCGTCGCTCCATTTGCTCCATCCCGCCTCTAGGCGGCAGTTCTGGAGGAATCTTGTAGGCAAAGTCAATGGGTGTCGCATATTCCAACGAACAGGTACTTGGAACTATCGTGTGGGGTGGTGGTAAAGCACTCATGCTTGAGCTTCGAACCGCTTCGTTATTGATGGTATAGGGAGCAGTGACAGCGTTATGGGAGGGGAGAGGCTAAAATTTAAGAAATCCTTTCAACGATAGGGTCGACCCTGTTTCTAAGCCACACTTTCCGACGTCCGTCCTCCGCTACAATGCTCTGTTTTCCCACTGAGAGAGGGCACGTTGGTCTGAAAAGGAACAATGCATTCTACAGTTGCAGTTTCTACCGGGGTTTCAATTATTTCCCTCAAAAAACTGCAAAACGCATTAGTTAACGGGACGCAAACGTGGGCCGGGGCAGCGGTCTCGCCCCCTCACGAAACAAATAGAATCAAAAGCGTGGCCAGTTGAATTTGTGGGTCATCCATACCTTTAGGTAACAGAAGAACGTGCAATCTTGGAATGTTCAGAAAATCCATCTCGTTGAAACGAATTCAAATTCTCCTTCTAAACCTCAATTCAATTTTTTTTTTCTTTCCAAAAGAAGCTTTCGTGCATCCTTTGAACAAATATTCAAAGGAGGAAAGAGAAACCCAGCGAAGAGTTCGCAATTCATTATGTGCGTATTTTGCACAAATAAAACCTAAATTTTTGAGGCCGCGAAAACACACCTTACTTCACGTTTCACTACCAAATGGACATCTTCCTCCGACGAGATAAGCACCTCTGCCATGGTCCGCCACAATCCGCAAGCCTGAAAGATAACAACACCATCTTCAAACATACTTTTCAAGATATGAAGAAAAAACAGCTGATCGTTGCCGAGATCGCTAAAAAGGTCAAAAGAAGAGAAAAACACACGGCGCAAAACACAGAGTAGGCCTTAGATGAGGTTACAATGTTTGGGAATCATTTTATCTTTCGCGTAAACTCGCAGGGGAATGGTCGCATCGAGCGAGTCGCATCCTTAATGCTTGTGGAGGAAATTCGAAAATAAACTAGTGGCAAAAACTCCCAGCTTCAAGAAGAGGTTGCCTGAAAAAAGAATATAGTGCGAAGTTAAAGGAAGCGGTCCTGATAATTCCTGTGGAAAAGAATGGGTAAAATGCATAGTGATTGAGTACGAGACCTACCCTACAAGGCGATAGGTTCGTCGCCAAGATAGTGGCGCTCGCACTGTAGCGCTATTACAACCACAGTAGGGGCGAGATGGGATCAAAATATTTTCGCTGAAACTTCTCCTATGGGGGTTATCGAGGGTCCTGATCACGAATATGACGTCCATTTTTGGCGCTGGCGCCATTTGGCGCCACGACTGATTCTCACGAAATTCACTAAACTTGCGTATTGGGTTATTTGAGGCCCTGATTGCGGATATGACATCCGTTTTATCGTTGACGCTGCGCGGTAGATATTTCCTGCTCGTCTTCGTCCTTTCCCTAATGAGTTCAGGACTAGTCTCTGGTACCCCCCCACCTAGGAATATGGAGAGGCCCCCGAAGAGAGATAATTCATTCACCCTTTAGTCCATGTACTTCAATGGATCCATACGGTACGGGTACATGGTTGACCGTTACGGGCCTCATACTCCTGCCTAAGCTTACCAGGAGGCTTGGCAGGGTCGTGCTAAGGTTTGAAAGCAGTTCTTTTGCATGATATGAGGGCACTATGCGGGAACCACCGAACCATGGTTAATTTTCCTGAACGGCCCTCTGAATACCAGAAAAGGGGTCCCTAGTTCGATTCCTCGTGGTGACAAATTTTTGCATTTCGAGTTGACGTTCCAAATTCGCGCAAAATGGAGTTAGCATGAATAATTAGTACCATATTCATGATTAGGACCGTCAGTAACCCTTACAAATAGACTTTGATTAAAAAACTGGTGGAAAAGGTGTACCGGGCTGCGTTAGGGTACATCTTTAGATCAATTTTTAATCAAGTCTTTTTGTAGAGGTGATGAAACCTAGCTATAGTATGGTACTAATTATTCATGCTAACTCCATTTTGCGCGAATTTTGGAACGTCAACTCGAAATGCAAAAATTTGTCACCACGAGGAATCGAACTAGGGACCCCTTTTCTGGTATTCAGAGGGCCGTTCAGGAAAAATTGAACCATGGTTCTGTGGTTCCCGCATGTGCCCCTATATCATGCAAAAGACCGTTTTCAAAAAGCTTGGCACGCCCTGAAAGACCTTCCTGGTTAGTCTAGGGGAATAAGTGAGAGAGCTCAAAAAGGCAGAAACAGAGCTGAAATAACGCGGCCAAGCGTAAGTCATATTCGTAACACGACCCAAACCTCCGCAACAGGAAGCTTACACGATGCGGTGTTGAAAACAGCGTGGAGCAAACCACCCCACGTTTCAGCGCCAGCGCCAAAGGATGTCATTTACAAAATGAGATGTAATTATTGGTTGTGATCTTGAGGCCTGCGGTAATCTTCATATGAAGTTTTCAGTGACAAAAATTTGTCTACCAAATCACCTCAGTATGGGGTTGTCAATGGCGCAATAGGATGCGTGTTGCTTTAGCAATGGAGTCATAATTGATATGGCGACGAATACGATTCTTCAATTTCCAGGATCTTGTCCGCCACCATTTGGGCGTGGAAGGTGACAACGGACTAGACACTTTATACGACACCGCAAATTCGTCCGATTTCTAGAGTTGGAGCATTGGAGCTTACTACAATTGGCCGGTCCTTTATTTATCGTGCTGTTACCACATGGTTAACGCTATCTAGACATTCCTATCTCAGCAATTCAACGGAAACTTTACGAAATGAATGTAGAATCTCTCTTATTCACTTAAGCCAGCGCGGACGCTTTCTTTCAAGGGATTGATGAGAAAAGCTGAGAGTTCTATTAAATTATCAGTCTTAATGAACAAAGCATCACGAAAACCTTCAACAATTGTTTCAGAGCACAAAATCCACGTATGAGTCTTCGCGGAAATTAACAGAACAGTGGCATTCGCTGATTCAGTATGATTCTTAGTGGAAAGTTTCAGGCGAGCCAAAAATGACAAATTAAAAAGTTCTATCGAAACTATCGAACTTAAAAAAATGTAAAAAAAGTCCGAAAATTGGCCGACCCTGACGGGTGTAATGATTACATCATGAGCTGCTTCAAGCAATTGAATAGCGTCATATTTGACTGAAACACCAGTGAAGTTTTTTGAATGTAAAAATTTACCGCGCTTTTCAGTTTGATTGAAGCATCGAACTGCAAATGGAGCGCGCTTTGTGACCAAGAACTGTACTTCTGTTGGGCATTATGATGCATGCAGAGCCCTTGTTTAGGATGTAAACAAATGTGCGAATATAGCGAGCTTCTACCTTTTTGGCGGTGTGCACGTTTCCGATTTTGCGAGCGCCGCCGCTCAAAGTCATTCAAACAGATTTTGAGTGACAAAAATACAAAATCATGGTTGGTGCGAAAATAGATCAGTAATTGTCAATGAGCAGAAACTGTCAAGTGGATGGGAGAGTGCATGAGTGGAAATCCAGTGGAAAAACGTGAAATAACAATGAAAAAAAAACGAATTGTCAGCCTACGCTGAATGACCGCAAAAAATAACAAAACTGATAGTTACAATCAAGCACTAGATTGATACCCTCAGACTTCCGTGTGAATTTCGGCATACTTTTCAGAATAGAATAGTTTAGTACTGAGCTTCCGACCAAGATTGTCAATAGCTTTATTTGGCCGACGTTTCGGTGCTTTCACCTTCTTCAGAGCCTGGAAAAGTCGAAAGCTATTTAGGAAACTACCCGTCCAAACACTATTTCAACCTACAAGATTCATTCAACAGGGAGTAAACTACTAAAACAATGTCATGGAGGGAGATGAGAACGAACCTCTAGAGATGCTGGCCAGAGAGGTCACTGCCCCCCGAGCAGTAGTATAACGTGGCTTATTTTGAAATTTCACATTAATGAAAAGAGAGGAGTTGGGGGGGGGGGGCACGCGGCGGCGCGGCAGTCTGCTCACCTGGGCTCTCTCGAGCGAGACAGTGTAAACTCGAACATTCCAGCTTTTCACGCATGTCAAGTGACTGCCCCCCCCCCCCCCCCCTAGACTGCCTACACTCCCCCTGGCCCACGGATTTCCGAACATGCCAGGCGAGCAGACTGCCGCGCCGCGTGGCCCCCCCCCCCAACTAAGTTAGCACCGTTTTTTGTACCATCTCTCCGAGCATACATCATTGTAGGCTCTGTATGTATTTCTAGCTATGCTAACCATAAGGTTTTACCATAGAATACATACTTCCATACAAGTTAAAGATGGATCAGGCGTGCGCGAAAAAATGAGTGCAATGGGTGCGGAAACATATACCCCTTACTGTCCGACATGGCCTGCAATATGCTGGATATATAGTTCACCAGGTTGGTCCCCCGAGACCTCTTTCCTTGCGTACGCTTAGTTCGAATAATGTCGACCTAACCCTCTTGGTCTGTTCGTGTGATGGGTTTTCTCCTGCCCTTACAGACACTCGCCCACTCCTCCATCTACCCCAGATGCCGAGCGACCATGTGGAGGGAAGTGTTATCAGTCAGGTGTTATATATCTTGGCGGGTGTTATCACATATTGCATGAAGAACATTCCCAAAATCAGATCATACGAACTACCAGAATTTTTTAGCGGCGGTTTATCATTTGCTCCTTATCCATCACTTCTTTGCGGACGGACAGACATACTTGTATACTTTGGGTCCGTTTCCCAAGGGTGTTCCGTATGCTTGGCAGGGACGTCAGTCTAGTGCCTTCGTTTCATTTTAGCACTTGTTACCACTCTGTCAATCACTTCCTAATGAATCGCTACCGGGCCTGTGGTTTCTACCAGAGTCAACCCTGCGTTGCGCAGTTCGCAACGGCACGTTCGAGAGATCCTCAACGCACGCTGTATGGGCGGAGACACAGACGGCTCGAGCATGCGAGTGTGAATGTTCGCGCGAGAGAAACGTGTCTAATCGGGCGAAACTGCGCAACGTGGCCGTTGAGAACTGCGCAACGCAGGGTTGACTCTGTCTCAACTCCGGCAATGTACCAATTGGTCACTCGCCCCGATGTCCAACGGTTCTCACTAAGGACAGGAAACATGTCCTGCCACCGATATACATAAATACATACATAAAAACGTACATACAGACATACATACAAACCGACACACCAAGTTAGCGGTTTATAAAATAGAAGGGTATCTGAACGTCTGATTAGGCGCGTCTACGGACCCGCCTAGGCGACCTGTTCGAAGTCGCGCGAGTAAGCCACTTCCAACAACTTCGCTGGTAATCAGCAAGGTAGGCCAGAAACAGCTTATCCGCAACTTCTATCAAGTGCGGCGGCCGCCACGTCATTTCTGGTGACACGCCTAATCAGCTTCGAGATATAGACTGTACATGTTTCTCGCGTTGCCGTCATTGTGTTTAATGTAAGCATCATCCTCCATAAAATAGACTAAAATTCGGTTCAGCTCTTCTTTGTGGCTGGTCCAGTGAACTTTTTTTCATAAAAGCTTTGTCCGCCGGCAACCTCCACGACCTCTCATGACTTGCGTATGTTTCACGTTACCTGCGCCTGTGAGGTCAACACAGGAAGGATGCATATGCACAAAATCAGGGTCTTGTATGGTATAAGGTACCAGATTAGCACCGATCCCTACTGCGCGCATGTCAAAGTAGGCTCTAGTAGGTTTCGCATAGCCGAGCTCTCGTATTAGGCAACACGCATGCT